GCTAAAATAACCGAACGCCGCACAGAAAACAACTTTCTCTCAAAACACATGAAAAGAACCGATTGTCTTTAATGAACCTGGTCCTGAAACTCCCGAACGTCCTGGAGGCTTAACGGTGTTCGTGCCGTCGAATAACTGTAGGGAATGCTATGCGTTCGACGACACGAACCCGCTGATGAACCAGGGATCCAAGATGGCCGCCCGCCGCATGGTCGGTAGTCGAACGACGGCCACCCAGGAGAGCCTCTAATAACCGATTGCAACAATGTTGCAATCGGTTAACTAGCGCCACACGCCTCTAAGTGTGTGGGCTATTAGGGGGTATCGTATTCGTTTCACGAACGGCCCTCCAAAGTGCCATTCGCGAAACGAACGGGAATCCCCATACAAACCGCCATTTGCATTCGGCGGAACAGATAGTACAGGCAATGCAGGAAATACATGAAACAGGCACATACAGGTACAATGCATCTCTCTCCAGACCTATAGGCAACCCTTAAAGGCATAGTGTCCAGTTATAGTCCGAGTGGCTAGGTTTGCCACACTTACCACTTTCAAAACTAACAGTTGACACCCAAACCACGCAATCTAAATTTGTATAAACAGTTACAATCATTGCAAATGAAATGTATTCATTGTAAACAAATTTAGTTTGAATGGCTGTGCTGATAGCAGAGCTAGCTCTACCTTTCAAGTGCTGTCTCTGCTGAGCTCCCCTGCAGGAGCACAAGCCGATAGGGAGATCTACAGATCAACCTGAATGGCGCTGCACTGCTCACTTTGCAGACTGCCCTCTGGCTCCGAACAGCTTTCTAGAGTGCTCCCTGTCAGCCAGAGACCGGAAGGGAGCATTCCATGTTGTCTGCTCTTAACCAGAGGGGCAGATTCTGCTGGAAGACAACTGGACCACCAGGAAAACTGCAGGACCATCAGGGAATAAAGATCAGAGACCCCCTCATTACAAAAAGGTAACAGATACACACCCAACCTTTCACATCACCCCCTCAGCCACCCACCCACACACACACTTAGCCACACTGTCACATCATCCACTCCCCCCCACACACACACTCAGTCACCATGTTACTGTCACCCCCTTCCCCCACGCAGTCACCAGGGCACATCACCTTCCGTACCATACATACACAATCACCCTGTCACATCCCCTCCACACACACACACAGTCACCATATCACATTACCCCTTCCCACCACATACATCCTCACTCATCCTGTCACATAACCTACTAATCCCAAACACACATCAGAACTCTTCTGCCACACGCTCAGTCATTGTCAGGATTACTGGTTGGTCGAGCACGTAGAACTGTATTACACCTAGGACTAAAAGGTAACGTCTTACTGAGCCTTAGAGTGGCCGGACTTAACATACCAGAGAATAGTCAGAATACTTGCCGAGGTCGGGGACACAGAATGGGACACAACGATGAGGGAAAGCCAAAAGTCAAGGATACCAGAATACAGGGAAGTCAAAACAAAGCCAAGGTCAATAACCAGAAATAAATGCTCAGGAACACACTCTCGGACAACCACTAAGGGAAACCACGAGAGGGCAATGAGGATAAGTGAAAATGTGTTTAAATAAGCATTTTTTAAATCTGATTGGCCGACATCGACTTTGACCCCAGAGCATAGGCGCATGTCTCCCGCGTGATGTAACACGCACACCGATGTCATCATCACCATGGGTGCACGTGGGGCTATAATTTGGCATGGATCTGCAGCGGGTAGCGTCCACCAACATGTTGCAGGAGTCAGGTACACTGACGCATGGCTGCTGAGTGCGGATACCGCAAGGTGAGGATGAATATGTTACAGTCATCATGTCACATCATCCCCCTTCCTCTACACACAGTCACTCTTTCACAGCCAACCCCCTCATTGTAAGTCACCCTGTCACATCAGCTCCACACGCGCACACTCAGTCACCATATCACAGTCACCCCATGCACTACCTCCTCACACAGTCACCATGTCATATTAGCCCCACTCTAAACTCTCAAACAGTCAGTGACCATGTAAAAGTCACAACACACTACATCATCACACACAGTCGTCATGTCGCTTTCATTCACCATGTCACAGTAACTATTACATGTCACAGTCACCCTACACACTAACTCCTCACACACAGTCACCATGTCACATCATTCCCTACACTAACCCCTCACATACAGTCACCTACACCCTAATTTCTCACACACAGTCACCATGTTACAGCCACTCCCCACACTTACCCCTCATATACAGTCACATTGCCAAAGTCACCATGTCACACTCACTCTGTCACAACCACCATGCTGCAGTCTCCCTCATAAATATATAGGCACCTTAACCCCTCACACACAGTCACCATGTCACATTCACTCACCATGTCACAGTCACCCACCACACACAGTCACATTACAAAATTCACCATGTCACACACACTCCTAGGTACAGGCACCACCCCACAGACAGTTACCCTTATCCTCACACAACCCCACTTCACACACCCACACACACACACACAACACAGCCCCACTGTAAACACAATGCACTCGGCAAGACCACAAGCAGCCCCCCTCATACACACAACACATTGCAAGCAAGTCCCTCCACACAAATGCTCCCAGACACAGATAAGCACTGCAGACACAGGCATGGATACACATACACACATATATACACTTACAGATGCACAAGGATACTCACTGCCAGACTAACACTCTCAGACACGTACACACTATAGAATGCCAGACATGGACACAGAGGTTCCAATACACACTGCCAGACACACACTGTGATTGTGTGACTGTATCTGTGAATGTAATGTGTATGTCTGTGTATCATTGTGTGTCTCTGAACATCAGTGAGTTTGGGTGTGCATGTGCGTGTATCAGATTGTGTATGTGTATTCGTGTATCAAGTTTATATATGTGCATGTATCCAAATGTATATATGTTTGCAGGTATCACTGTGTATGTGTGCACTTTTCTCAGTTATGTGTATTTGTGTGTGTGGCAACATGGCTGCAATGTAAAGGGTATATGGTATGTGTAATATCATGGTAATGTGGTAACATTTACAAATACATGTGGATATATATATATATATATATAAACACACATACACATAACTGAGAACTGAGTACATATTGGACAATGTATAGGTTGAGAGGATTATAGAATATGTGAGGAAAAATGCTGATGTATATTGCGAAATGTTATTTACTTACAACTCTGTTTTCCTATCTGTAACCTCATTGATAAATTATTTTTTAATGTTTTTCTGACCAGACCAAATGTTCTTTTTTGTTTCTATTAAATAATGTGCTATCTAAGCATATTAAAATAAAAAAAATACATTTAAACATTACTTTCCAGGACACCAAAAATACTCAAATGTTTTTTTATCTGCAAACCACTTAATAGTGAAGGGGTTTATTAGATCCCTAAAATGTCTTGCTGGTTTTTGAACTTTACAGAGCTTTAATTAGATTGTCACGTTAGATTAAAATAAATACCCCACAAGCATTGGTTTGTCATGTTTTGGTTGAATTAAGGGGCAAAATTAGAACATTCACAATTTCCGCACTCAGGATTTTCACAGTGTTGCTCATCTCATGTCTGTTATGCTGCATTTTATCACCCTTCTAATTCAAAATATTCTCATAAACATATTTATTTTTTCAAAAGCAGGGAACCAAAGGTGTTTAACTGGAGGCATTTTGACACTTTTCATGTGGCCATTTTCACCATCACTCTTTTCAAAAATGTGTTATACTATTTTATTTCTGCATTTTTTTCCATATTTTTTTTTTCTATATTAAAGTAGCACTCCAGGCACATTAGATGCAAGAAATATAATTGAGGATCATGCACTAAAAACTTCTCATCAGAAACATATTGTTATCTTTTTTACAAAAAAATGCAAAATGACTTGTTAAGTCTTGTTGTCTCACACTTCCATGAAGAAGCAACGATGAGACACTAAAAGGAAAAATACCATTATATTAAACTGCTTCTAGGTATTGGCTTATAGGTTACAGCCCACTCCCAATAACTTAAAACTCTAGCCCAGTAAACAAAACATCAGTTATCAATAACTTTCTACATAACAGTATAGTGCAGTCGTGTATGTGTAAATGTTCTTGCAGCATGCATTAAAGGGACACTCCAGGCACCCAGACCACTTCTACCCATTGGAGTGGCCTGGGTGCCAACTCCTACTACCCTTAACCCTGCAGGTGTAATTATTGCAATTTTTATAAACTGCAATAATTACCTTACAGGGTTAACTCCTCCTCTAGTGGCTGTCTACTAGACAGCTACTAGAGGGCACTTCCGGGATTATAGCACAGATTTTCTGTGCTATAGCGTCGCTGGACGTCCTCACGCTATGTGAGGACCTCCAGTGTCACTAAAATCCCCATAGGAAAGCATTGAAAAGCATTTTCAATGCTTTCCTATGGGGGGGTCAAATGCGTGTGTGCGGCATGGCCGCGCATGCGCATTAGGTCTCCCCCGCCGTGATCAGTGTCCCCTGCCGGCTGACGTGATGAAGGGGAGAAGCGTGGGCGGACACAGAAGCAGCGACGAGGGACATCGTTGCTGCCTCTGGTAAGTCACTGAAGAGGTTTTGACCCCTTCAGCAACCAGTGATGGGAGGTGGGAGGGAGAGGGGACCTGCAGTGCCAGAAAAACTGATTTTTTTCTTGGCACTGGAGAGTCCCTTTAATGAGGAAACATTATCTATCTATCCATCTATCTATCTATCTATCTACACTCCACCTCCCAATAAAGTGGCACTTTTATTAAAGGGATACTATAGTATCTAGAACCGCTACAGCTTAATGTAGTGGTTCTGGTTAGTGATGTCCCGAACTGTTTGCCGAACGGTTCGCGAACTGTTTGCCGAACGGTTCGCGAACGGTTCGCCACGAACGGTTCGCCGCAGACTCATCATTGAGTAAACTTTGACCCTGTACCTCACAGTCAGCAGACACATTCCAGCCAATCAGCAGCAGACCCTCCCTCCCAGACCCTCCCACCTCCTGGACAGCTCACTAAGAATGCAGCTTCACAATGGATGCTGTCCAGGAGGTGGGAGGGTCTGGGAGGGAGGGTCTGCTGCTGATTGGCTGGAATGTGTGTGCTGACTGTGAGGTACAGGGTCAAAGTTTACTCAATGAAGAGTCCGCAGTGAACCGTTCGGCGAACAGTTCGGGACATCACTAGTTCTGGTGTCTATAGCCTGTCCCTGCAATCTCAGCAATAAAAATGCTGCCTTTCCAGGGAAAGGGAATGTGTTTACATTGCTACCTAGTAACACTTTTGGTGACAGTCACTCAGACAGCCACTAGATGTACTTCCTGTTTCATTGCTGGACAGTGTGCAGCACCTACGTCAGCATCTTTACGCTCTGCATGGAGAAACTGAAGGCTCCCTGTAGAGAAGCATTCATTCTATTAGGAGATGTTGATTGGTGCAGAATGCACAATAGCCTCCAAATGCTTTCCTCTATATATACATTTTTGAATTCTTTATTTTTGCTGTGCGTGCGATTACATACAGACTTGCGATACCACAACATTATTGGCAAACAATTTAAGTAACAGACAAGGCATAACTTTGACATGGTATATGAAGTAACTGCACATTTTTTTTAAGTAAGTAAAATCAAGCTTCATGATAACATCACTATTTTTATGGTGTTATGGATTCAGGCTAGGTATATACGTCTAAAACATTGGCTTGAACCAGGCGGGTAGATACAAGAGGCACGTTAGAAATAGTGAATAGTGAATTCATTACCGTATTCACTTTTATTTTCAGGTCCCAGAGAGTGTGGGGTCTGGATATAAGGACATTAATTTGTGTTTTGGGCAGCCAAGCAGACCTCAGTCTGCCCCAACTGTGATCATTTAGGGTTTAGTCATGATGGGGACCTCCTCAAGTGTTGGTCCTGTACCTCAGTGGTAATGACTCATGTTCAGTGTCTCTGAGGGACTTGATTTGCTATATAAAAGTTTATGGTTGATGTAGAAAGGTATACATTCCAATCTTTGCATATCTTAGCCTTTTCACCCTGTTCCCATTCCAAAAAGTGGTTTCTTGGCTGCTACCCTTCCACAAAGACCATTCCTGTTCAAACTTCTTTCGACTGCAGAATGGTCAACTTGGCATCCTGATGAAGCTGCCAGATCCTGAACCAGGTCCTTGCTGGACATTAGATGTTGAAAGTTTCCTTGACCTTTCAGTCCTTTTATTTGTCCATGACCTATATTCAAATTTCTTTATAACAGCTTGAATACCACATCTGGAGGATCCAGCTTGCTTATTTTCCTTTGAGAGTGGCCTTGCATACACATTGCATAAAAATGTCCCATATTTTCTGCTTGCACTCTAATAAAGAGACTGAGAAATAACAGTGGTAGGAGATGCTATAGACCCTCTCATTAACAGGCTCAGAAACGTATGGGCTGGTAAACTGCTACACCTCACAAAGAGCTATATATATATATATATATATATATATATATATATCATATATATGATCTGATATTCAAGATCACCTGAATGTGACATCTGCAAAAGCCTTCTACCACTGACTGTGGCAAGAACAGGGGTGCTCTACACAATTTAGTGCACTATGTGACAGGCTGGCAATAGAAGGACTACATAGGCATTTCAGGAGTTGATACCCCGTTTTAAAGTGTAAATGAGTTCATGCATTAAATAATTAGCAAAAAAACTAAAACTAAAAAAAAAAACCACATATTAAGATTATCCAACATCCCATACAAGCTTGTTAGGACTTGCATAGTGTGGGCATGCTGTGTGTACACAATCAGTACAAAAACGTGCATGGTCAGGAGAGCTTCCCTGTGACCTCTCTGAGCAGTGTGTGGGCTTATAGCTGCAAGGCTTTTTGTAAATCCCTGCATTTATAATCCACAATGAATGAAGACAGAAACAAGGAAGGTATCTATATCATATATTAGCCATGTAAGGAGCAGATTGTTATGGTACTTTGGCTGTCTCTTTAAGTAAAAAAAAAAGTAGACAAAGCACATGGGGTTAGAGGTTTCTGACAATTATAATAATTTCATGTAGATTTTGTGTGACTTTCTGAAATAACTAGCCATAAGCAGTAAAAATAAATACCTTTAGAACCAAAATTAAATTAGCAGCATTCACTTTGATTGCTGATACAAACTGCTTGACCATCTAGTCTTCCCATTCTACCTGTTATAAAGCCTCAAATCAATGCCTAGTAAAGCTCTGTATTGTCTTCTATTACGTACTAGTTCATTCATATTTCTACCAAATAATGTTGGGCAGTATTGTGGTACAAAACCAAACTGCCTCAACCAACCCTAATATTTTGGGTTTGTTGAGGCAGGTTCTATTAGTAAAACTGTCACAATTCTTTATTGGTATAAGGTTTCCTTCAATGTCAAGGTAAGCATCAGTTCCAAACTTGAACATTAAAGGAACACTCATGCTATAGTGCTTATTGTGCTTGCAATGTTCTTTTAACTGGTTAGCACTCCGTGAAGTGTAACAATGTCTGGTTAATTCACTAAACAGCAATTGTAGTGAATTAAAAAAACAAATTGTGCAATTCATAATTTTGGTAAAATTCTCTGATTTGGAAAATTTTCCAACACAGAAAATTTCGCAGCTGGACTATTTTAGCCTAAATTTTACAATTCAATTTTCAATTCGCTACAATTTGCTTTTCCACAAATGAAAACCAATGTCTGAATAGAAAATTAATAAATTATTGTCAATGAAGGTGTTAATTATTTCTAAAATATATAATTTCAAACAATATTAGTACTTAATTATATAAAACGTAATCATTTCAAACCTCTTGATTATAAATTAGAATGCTGGGTTAAGTCATTAAAAGGAGATGTAGTTGTCTTAATTGCATAATTACTAATCTTATTTTATTACATTTTACAAGGCAAGAATTGTTTGTTTCAATTAAATTTGATTAAAATGTATTTAAATGAAAAGCCAATTATTGCAATATTTCAGAGTGTAAAGGTTTTAGAATTTCTTAGGTAATATTAACTATATTGCATACCACCCCAAGTTATTTAAATGGAATTAAAGTATAATCTTGCAGAATCTTATGAAATAGAAAGTGTAGTTACTTCTAAATGATAAATAGATAGATAATTTCTATAATTGTAAAGCACTGCAGAATATGATGGCGCTATATAAATGCTAATAATAATGATAGATAGATAGATAGATAGATAGATAGATAGATAGATAGAAAGATGTAATGAGGACTAAAAAACATTGATCTTAATTAAATATTTATTGTTGGTGTGAGAGACAAAATAAAATATAGCAGAAAATATTTGTCAAGTGTCTATATGAATTCCTACAAATTTGGTCCATTTAGCATTATTAACATTATTATTATTATTATTATTATTATTATTAGCAGTTAGGTTTACATATCGAACCCAGGTGTAATGATTAGTGAGACTTATCACTAGTGAAATTCTACTTCTCTATATTTTTAAAAATCCATTATTTTAAACCCGCTCTATATACTACGTCTGCCTGCATACAGCTAATTGTTATATTGTTATTCATTAACATTATCCTCCAATGTCTAATTAGCCACGGGAGGGGTTGTATTGAGGAGCTCAAAAGATTCGTTAGTGACTTTAATGAAGTTTTTATAATTATACTTTGAATGGATTTTACCAGTTTGTCTTAAAGAAAAATTAACTCTGAGTGGGTGGTGAAGCAGAGGGGGTCAATTTAATTTGGAGGTAGGGGGTAGAGGGAGTGGAGGTTTGCTAAAAGAGAGAGGTGCAGGAATTCTCCCTAATTAACACAGCTGGGTATCTAGTTAACAAGATCCACTCCCTCCTCCCACCTTTATATGACATTGTGAGATTAGAAGTTTTTAACCATTGCCAAGTCCCCATCATGAGTTGCATATGTCAATGCCAAGGATTTAATATTCTTTGATCAGTAAACACTGTAAGGCAAATTATTAGATGTATGTAATACCAGGTACGCATTCCCTGTGTTCCAGATATTTGGGGTATGACAAAGTCAGTAAATGTAAAATTGGGGTATTTTACATTTTTCTGTCTTTAAATGTAAGATTTACTTTGGTAAAAATAGGTAAAATCATACTGCTTCTTACCTGCTATTATAACTAGAGCCCAGAGATCCATTAACATGTCAATAATCTATCGATCTATATTTATATTTGTATAAAAGAATCTTATGATTTGAAAGAAGCAGTTCAATTCTTTGGAACACTAAAGTGTAATCTGGGAAATAATCTTGAGTACCATTGTGCTAAGGTTTTCTCAGGTCTAGAGACAGATTAAGTCCTATAATTGTATAAGAAGGGCTGAAATACAGAGACTATAAGGCTGTATGCAGGCAGCACAAGCAGGATTACTTTCAGTGTACTAATAATTGAATTAACTTGGGAAGCCCTGTAATTAATGGCTATTATTATCTCTATAATTAGACCTCTTTATTTAAAGGCTCCTTCCTATCCGCCTGGATAGAAATTTAATGGTCACCCCATGCAACCTCTCTCCCTTTTCAGAGGGAGGAGCTGGATGTGTTATCTACACACTTAATCAGAATGGATTGCAATTAACTAATTATCAACTAAGTGGGCCTTACCACCATGCTTTAGCACTGTTCCACTGCTAAGACATTCTCGCAGAGTTGCTTAATGTGTCGTTTGCCCATGTTTAAATAGGTTGCATCTGATGTATCTAGTGATTCATTTGAGCACTTCCAATTTAACTACTACAGTTCGTTGCTTTGGTCTAAATCCGCTTAACCTAATTTATGACAGAGGAAAGAGATTAACATGCTCCCATGCAATGGGTTCCGTAGAGCTACCAGTAGGATAAGAGTTCCCTTAGGTATAAGAGTCTGTCATCTTTCATAAGTCAATAAAATTGGAAATATTGAGCTGGGTAGTTACAACCTCTGTTTATAAGCTGTTGATTTGATGACATCTAAGAGCGTACAATGAATGCATTGAATCTCCTCTTATAAGGCAAACTGCCATATAACTAGAATATATTATTTTTGTTATGATTATTCTGTAAACTTGATGACACCACCTTAATTAAGCATGTCAGAG